AAATTGACTCGCCGAAAACCAATTACTGAGCAACTAATTCTTCATAAATTGCTCCACTTTTTAAAACAATAATTTTAATATTTGATAATTTATATACATTTTTTGAAGTAGATCTATCGCCTATCTGATCTTCACATATCAATGAACTCCTCAAACAGCCGTTCATCGCTTTGCATCTCGCATTAAGTAGCGCTGTTTGTCGAGCTCCATATATTCAAAAGAATTCGTTGGTCGCCTTTCTCCCTATACTAAAGTACGTTTCCAAAAATTGTTCGTTCGTTCAGAGTTTTGAAGTAATATGTTCTACTATAAATTATTCTTGTTAGGTGTGCTTGCAAACAGACCGTTAGTAAACATACCTTGCTGCCACAAGCAGAAGTTGAATCTCATTGAATGAGTATTATTTTACTTGACGAAGCTAAACCTCATCGAGTAAGTTATCAGTATCAAGAGTTTACTGTAGTAACAGAAATGCCACTATACAATAGCGTCTGAGATATAAAAAATAATACGGAAAACGAAAATTGTTGTGAAAAATTACGTAAGTGCGGGATTAGCATTATACTTTGTGAGAACACAATTTTCGCTTTTGGAAGTATATAAATAAATAGGTGATTTTGAATTTTCACACGTCGAATCAGAGTCGCGGTCAAAAGCCAAAATTACTGAATAAAAATATCTGCTTCGGAATCTGCTATCTGCTCATGTGCAGCGAAAATCGCTTTTTTAAAATAGTAGGTGCTTGAATTGCGTGGGAAGAAAATGGACGAGCATTGATTACCTAAGTTGTCCCACAAGTTTCAAATCTGATGATTGTGATACGCCCGCGTGAAGCCTGTTAAGATCCTTGTACGTGCGTATACTACTACTGCTGCTGATCCCATCTAGCATGACCGAGTGCGGTTGCCAAGTTTTTGATTGCGCTGCTACGAGTTAACCGCCGCATAAATAATTGAGTTCTGATGCCGTACTCTACACGCTCTGATGCTTAAAAATGCCCACAAACCGGCGCCCGTAACTCATCGCCTCACTTGTTCCTGCATTGGGGCTCAGGCACCGATTTTGCGGGGTTACCTCAGATGTGCAATTAGTCCTCCAATTGTGACAGAATTTTGCAAAAAAATTAACATAGGCATAATATGTGATCGTGCTAAACGGTGCTTTTGGGATAAAAATGTCAATTGCCTTTTGTGCTATAATTTACAAGCAAATGTTAATATTCATATCTAAGAGTTTTATGATCATTCACATGAACAATATCTTATTGCCTCTTTGATTCAAAATTATATTGAGGTTGACAAGCAAACCATTTTTCTAGTTCTCTGTAAACAAATTAATTTTTTTTTATGACAGTCGCAGCTCCAACTCACGAAATTTTCTAAATTCTTTGTAACCTTCTAAAAAATTCTTCTAATTTTGAATGGGAGGAATGCATTTATTTGCCCTAATTGGGAAAGCTCTAGTCGCGCCGCTCTAGAGGTAATCTATATAATCCGCGTCTACGCTGGGGGAAGTTCAAACTTCAGAGGCGGAACTTAATGCAGTAAATTTGCAGTAAGTCAGAAAATACATGAAAAATACCAGATTGAGGCGAATATAACAGATCTAAAATATTCATACCACATACCGTCTGAAAATACCAGATTTGTGAAATCTGGTGTAGAAATATACCAGTTGACAACGCTGAAGTAGACGCTGCACAGAGGGGCGGTGAGGCGCTTGACGCCCATTTGTTGCCTCTAGTCACTAGTGTAAACGGGCCTTTAAACGCGTTCCGGTGATGGTTGGAATTTTTCGATTTTGGCTTCACCCACAAGTTATGGAGCTATGATATATTTATTTTACAAAAAGCAGCCTAATGACGTGAACATATCAGCAGATATGAGGGTAATTAAATGTAAAATAATTTTCTTTTCAATTAAAACCATTTGCCTATGAGTTTCCTGCGTAGCAGTAAACCTCGCGAATGAAGTGTCAGGCACTATGTTAAGCACCACCTGAGGACATGTATTCGCTAACTAAGTTCGTGAGGTATAAGTAAGACATCATCTGTCAAGAGAACTTACCTTGATAGGGGTGGTTATGCACGAGTGATACGATACGGCATACAGGTAGAGCTAATTAAGACGTCGGCCGTTACGCCTGAGTAGCTCTCATTGCGGCGTGCGTACTTGTCACCTTATGGGGAGCTTTACTAAAGTTGCTAACCCTTTCATAGAATCACGGCTTCTGCCCATCTCTAAGGTCCAGTCGAGTGGTCTATCACGTGATGTTGTCCAGAAGCTGACTCAGGTCTAGTACTTTTCCATCAATCTCTATCACGTCTGTTGAATATTACGCCTTAATTACAGATTATCTAATTTTACAATATAATGATGAATATAGTGAGACCCCAGATTGACACCGGACAGAAGTCGAAAGCGAAAAAGTATTCACAACCTAATCACGACTGAAAAGTTGCCATGAGTACATTTCGAATTTTCACTAAAATCTGTTCTGTATTTTGGAAGTTTTTTTTCATTAGGCTCGCATATTATTTGAAAACCCGCTGCAATACTTGCCTAGCTAGAACATTTCATAATTATTTATCTTCAATTAAAATTTTCTGTACTAACTAAATTAGGAAGACATTTTTGTTGAATCACATTAATTGTGATTGATGGCACTTAATACTAAAATTTATTTGTATTTTTGAATGGCACACCATAATTTTTATTGACTAGACGCGGAACCACTAAGAATTCGCTAAATCCAAATTATCAACTGCATTACGAATTTATGCATTAACTGCATTGCGAATTTATTTTTCCATATCATCCTCATTCGTGATTTTAAACAAATACGTGCTTAAATTCGCAGAGAACATCAAATTTCTTCTAAAATACTGAACAGATTTGAGCGAAATTTTGAATGTACCAACTAACCTCCCAACGGCGATTTTTAGCTCGTGACAATTTTTTTCAATTTTGCCTTCGTTTGCGAGTTATACGTATCTCTCTTATACGTATCGTTCTCTTGGTCAATGCAAAGTTAAAAATCAGCCTCAGAAATGCCGGCCGTATATCCGTATAACTCGCGAATGAAGGCAAAATCGAAAAAATTGTCACGAACTAAACATCACCGTTAGGAATGTATATACAGAATTTCGTTCAAATCTGTTTAATACTTTGGAAGAAATGTCTTGTTCACTGCGAATTTCGGCACGTATCGCCATATAACTCACGAATGATGGCAAAATTTTAAAAAATTTCACGATCTATACATCAATCAGTTAGGTCCTTATGAATACGTGTACCGAGTTTCATCGAGCTACGTTCATTACTTTGGGAGATATTCCTTGTTCACTGAATTTGGAGACCGGCCGTAAATTTGTCCGAGACGTGCAAGACTGTAACGTGTTACGTGGCTAACATCCAAATTGAAGTGAATTGCAGAATTACACAATATTGCGTCAATCAATTACGTCTTGTGCTTTTATATTATGCAGCAGTAACACAAGACGTGATTAGTTGACGTAGTCAGCCATCAGTGTGACACGCGGCTAACAATACTTAGCATTAAATATTAACGCCTGAATTTTCTATCAGAAGTTGTTTCTAAACATTTTTAGCGGACTGCCAGTTAGCGAAACTAAATTTAGCGGAAGCCAATTGGTCCGCTGATGGTTGGAAAAGCTAATCCGATAAGGATAAAGTTAGCTTCGCTTATTAGCGGTTAGCGGATTAGCGGAACTGTGCGGATTAGCGGATCCACTGAGTTTCAATTGATTTACCGACTGAAAATATACAAAGATTCAAATATTTTCTTATATGTTGAGATAATATTTAAATTTGTCGGTGTCATCATTAAAGACTAAGCCATATCTGGTCTACCGCCGATTCCAAACCCCGACGATTTCTTTCATACATCTTGGTCTCAAACCCGCAAGTTTCTGCTATTAATTATCTAAGTGAATTTAATCTCGACCACCTCATCGTTATATCATATATTAAATCATGCCTAGTAATTTATACATAAGAAACAGCAATCATATCTCATCTTTAATTAATATGTTAATGCCCTTTTGGCCTTTTGGGCTCATAATTCTTTATGATAGGAAATGTTAAACGGTGCAAGTATCGCGCTAAAGAAATTATATATTAAATTTTATGAAGAGAATCTAAAACAAGTCCCAAATAATCGGACTTAATTAATAATAATTGATCATCAAGAGGGAGAGATTTTATATAAATTTCAACAATCCAATGTATATACGTGCCAAAAACTTGAAATTTAATAGACTATTTTTAAATTAACTTGGTATTAAATTAATTTCTTTAATTGTTTTCGCGGTGACATTCGCCAAAAATATTAAGTTTTCCATGGTCTATTCTATAGATTGATATCTGAATAAGATTTTTTTATTTAATCGGCTTCAATTATAATAATGAATCATCAAAACGGGGAGAATTTATTTAAATTTCAATCATCTAATAAATATACGAGCCACAAACATAGAACCTAATGAAAACGGGGCTTTTAAATTTAAATAATTCATTTTATATACTTGTTATTGGATTTCTTTCTTTAATTGTTTTCGAGGACTTTCGCCAAAAATATTAAGTGTTTTATAGTCAACGGTAGAGAAAACACATATCTAATGTTTAATTATCTATAACTAAGAAAATGCTATTTTCCCAAGTAAAAAATGTAGGTGACCAGAAATATACTTTTATAAAACTACATTGGGGGTCCACTGCTCAATAAAATTATGAAATGTAATAATAATAATGGAATGATTTTGTATGGATATCAAGCATGTCTAAATGCGTTGAAAAAAATATTGTAGACTTATTCTCAAACAAACATTTTTTTAATCATACCGTAAAATCAGTAATATTATGCTAAAACATTATTTTATATCGAGCCTTAGGGCATGAATTGAAATTTTATGCACAATATTTACAAAACGGCAAGTTATAATTTTATCAATTTAATTACTAATTTATTAATAATTTACTCTTAATTATTACATATACCTAATAGAATATAAAGTCTTTGGTCTGGCGCTGCTCGATGTGTCCCTTTCTCGTGTACTCAGGATCACTACTTAAATGTAAAAATATATATTACAATTATGCAACTAGACACTTGATATTTGCAAGCAGAAATACTCGTAACAAATACCATAGGAATAAATATGCCGAACCTACATCTCATGAAAAAAAAAATGTTAAGCCGGTATTTGTGTTCTCTTTGCAATGCATGTACAAAGGTTTCCCTCTGACATTATTTTGGTGGCAGGAATGTGAAGCTTAATAAGTCGTTGACTAATCGATACCATGTAAAATTCATGTGGCTGATTAAATGCTCAGTTCCTTCCTATTTAGTACATACGTTTAAAAATGTCAAGATTTCTGGGGATTCATTAAAGAAAGTGGCATAATTACTCGAAAAAGTGTCATAAATAGATTAAGTTTTGTTCACACATAGATCAATGAATTATTTAAATTCGCCGAAATGAATTGTTTCTTAATTCCTTTGTACATCACGAAGTCATTTGTTTCTAAATTCGTGTGCCGATCGCAGCATGTTTGTAAACTGATCTTGCCGTTAGGGAACATATAACAGAATGCGCTGGAAAACACATCACTATATACATATTAGCATCATTAATCATGAGCAAACAATCGGAGTTGTTGAGTTGTGGTTAATGGTTCTGACAATCGACGATGAGCCGCAATTACCATCATTGCTCGCTGAGGAAACCACGCTAGTCTTGCCTGAAACGGAGGTTTGTGGTCTAGATACGCAAACTGTAACTGTGACATCACTCTCAACAGGTCGACTAAAATCTTTGCTAGAATCCATTTCAATTCCGTTAAGAACTTTCCGGGTGCTGAAACCTTGTTTTCGTTCAGTAAAGTTTGGTCTGAGATTGAAATTAGTTGTGGAAAAGCCTTGTCGAATGTGCATCGCCATAGGACCTTTATATTGTTTGGGTGGGATTTGTTTGAACGATATTTTAGGACTTCGCTGTACCCTTTGAACTTGAATATCGGGCCCCATTGCAGTCGCTGTTTCACCATCGACGAGGGAAAAAATTCTGTGTTGTGGATCTTTTGGGCTATGATTGCGGTTGTTGTACGTGGTTTTGCAAACGAGTGAGTGCACCCTTTGGGCGACGGAGGGAGGAACGGAGCGAGGAGGTCTTCTGAGGCTATGGGTGCTCAGAGGACCGCTGTACAGAGAAGCCACTTGGTGGTCTCTTCGGTGAACCTGGAAGAAGAAATGGAAATATTGTGAGGACGGTTCACTATGATACGTCATATTATTACCGGAAGACATCTACCTTTTCATTGTAGAGAGCTAGGTTAATTATTAAGGATCAATAATGTGTTTTATCTTGATGTATGGTGTATAGGAAAAGGATATATTTTAATTAGGATGTAAAAGTTGTAAGATTATTTTAGAGAGAATCGTAGCTTTACTGATGGGTGTCGTGCGAACGGATTCATTCGGATTTTAGAGAGCGGAAAATTAGGAGCCCTCTCTTCGGCCTGTTTATGTCTTGTTCCAGATTGTCTCCGCGAACTTTGTAACCTTGCCCAATTTTATATCTGTGTTGTGGTGTTGGATTTCAAGTATATCTTGACCAGAAACGACTTATTCATGACAACAGTACATGCAAACCTGGTGGTCTCCCAACACCATTACTCAACCAATCTGTGTTTTAATCCACTAGTTTTCAGTAAAATTTGACTTAATTAAATTATTTTCTCTTTCATTTTTGGTTCAGAGTAATCTTATCCAAACTAATGACAGTTACATTCAGATCAGTTCCGTCATTTAGTAACTAGCAGCAATTGGCATTCTGTGTGTAAGCAGGCCTGGCATTGCAAATCTTGGTTAGTCTGCTCTTTTATATTAGACCCATATTTTCTATACATCCTTTTACTTATTTTTATTGCATTTCTTATAATTATTGCATAACTGTTACCTCTTTTGCTCATTAATCTAATTACTTCTGTTAATGGTTTTTTACTTATTTCTGCGTTATAATTTATTCATGATTATCTTGATGGTTCAAATAATTGTCTAAAAAATTATGAAAAACTGTGAACAGAAACGCAAAAAAATACATGTCACAAATGTTATACCGTTAAAATTATGTATCTAATTCTCTCAATAAATGTATGTTAACAAGCCTTATGGTGTTTGGCGAGATGGTCAGAGCGGGAGAAGCGCTTGTCACACACGTCGCAGCGGTAGGGCTTGACACCGGAGTGGCTCCTCTGATGTCGTGACAGCTCATCTGATCGCGAGAATTTCCACGCACAGCCTTCCCAAGTGCACGCAAACGGCTTCTCTCCGGTGTGCCGCCGAACATGAGCCTGTTGATGTTCATATGAATTAAATATAAACCATAAATGACGTAAATAAATCATTTATTTTTTTGACAAAACTCGCAATACGTATTGGCTAAGGAAACTGCATTCGACAAATAGTGCAGGTAAATGAAGAATTTAGTTTAAACTATCGTATTGAGCTTTTCCCTTTGAAATATACTCTGACCTTCAAATGAGAGGATTTGGCGTAAACTTTGCCGCAGTTTTGGTAGGAGCATTTATAAGATCTCTCATCATCCTTGAGATCGATTCTTGGCGCTTTTTCAATGGATACCACAACATTTTGGAAGACAGAGGGAGGCTTTGAGACGAAGTGCATGCCTCTGTGGATGTCTCTAGGAGGAAAGGGAATGGGCAAATTGGACGGGAAGTGCGTTGGGTATGGAGGTAATGGCGTAGAAGTATACCGTTGCATGTTTTGATGTCCTTGTAAGTGCATACATGGGTGAGGCATATGAGGTAAATCCACGCTGGTGCTGTATTCTTCTATTTTGTTCGTGTAGTCGTGTCCAGAGAGGAAAACGCTAAACGGGATTCGGGAATTAGGTTCAGGATTTCTGTTTAAGTGGACATGGTCACTCATGTACACTTTGGGCAAAGCAGGGATGACATTAGGCGATGAAATCTCAGAAGGCTTGAAACAACCGGAATTTACACTAGAAGCTGCATAATTTTTTTGATCGTAGTTTGCATAATCTAAGGGTTGTTGCTCCGGAGAATATGTCACGTCTTCCCCAAATATAGAGAGATCCATTTCAACGTCGAGTAGAGGCAGCTCTGATGAGGGTGGAAGCAGATCGGGAAACTGAAACGGAGGTGGAGAATTGAATTCAGTTTTTGAACTGACGTGTACTGAGGGCTGGAAAGCAGCTGTAAACGCCGAGGCAAGGGTCGGAGAAATAGGCTGTGGGGATTCTGGAGAGGTCGTTGTTGTTGGTGCGAATTGAAGCTTCAACGCATCTGATGAGGTAGAATCCGAAGAAGTGGACCAGGCGTCAGGCGACGACGCTGCAGAACTTACACTGTCCTGACACGTTGCGCCTGGAAAATAAGCAAAAAAATATCTATTAGTATTTATGCGTGTTGTAAGATAGGTTTACAAGCACCGAAAACAGTTCCACAAATCACTCCTCTACGATCAATTTTCATCGATAAAAGTAGCAGGAAAGCATATTTTATTCAGGGAAAAACAAAAATGGACAAATTTTAATTTATTTAGTTGGCACTCTGAAAGACTCACTCATAATGAGGAAATCCCTGGAAATACTCGAAGTAATTTCAGTATTTAAACTTTCTCCCGTTGGTATTCCGTCTATTTTTGAACTAACATTCATTTGCTGATAAATTGAATCCATTGGCGGATCAATTGAAGAGTCGTTATTATATGATTTGCTTTGTAATAATCCAGTAATCTGTACACTGTCGGTTGAGTCTTCTTGGCTAGCTAAATTCATGTCCGTTATTTGTTGAACTTGAAACCAATCTCCTTCATCTGCGAAGGATCCCGAAGTCAATTTCTCTTCTATGTTGAAATTGTCTGTCAGCGAGGAGGGTGAGAATAACTCGCTCAAGTCAAGACTATTGGAAGAGCCCGAGTTAGGTGAAGATGGAGGCGAGATGAGGCTACAGAATGCACTGATGTCTTGTAACTCGTCAAACTGGCTCGCTTCGAAGTTCATGTTGTTGGTAAGAACCGAGCTCGGCGGTGACATATCAAGCTCTGAGCTTCGCATTTCACTGAAGATTTCCTCCGAAATTATATCAGATTCTATCTGCTTGGATGTTGGTTCTTCAGGCATGACATTCGTCACCGCTTCACTTGGTTCTGTCACCGCACCAACCTTAGTTTCTTGTTTTTCATAACTTTCATCGTCTGAAATTTTTTTGTGGGCCCAAGGTTCGTTTTTGTCTTCAGGCGCGGGAAACTGAGGTTCTAATGGCATCAAGCCAGTCCATATTCCCTCTAGCTGCGGCAACAGAGCGTCCATTGTAAATTACTTGAAAATTCGCTTATCAGTAAAAAATTTTTCGACTGTACTTCGTTTCGATAAGCACAATAAATCTTTTATTTATAATATAATTGTCTGAAAAATAAAGAAGAGATCTACTGAAATCTTGCTAGAGGAATTGAAAAGCTGCATTGCTCAAAAATATTTAAAATTTCTTTGGAAACATCGATGGGATTATTTCGCGAGATTTTGTTAAAATACAAAAAAAAACAATAATTAATTATTAAAAAATACACTATTGAGCATGCAAATATTCATTGAGAAATGTTGTCGATACATTTATAGACCGTCTCAAAGTCTCTACTTTCGGGGTTTCCTTGCCCTGTTCATCACCAGCCCAGCTCTGCCAAGAACTTCGGTCAGCTGATGCTGCCGAAGAACTGAGTGCAGCGCGGGTGACCACGTACTGAAAAACATTCGTATTTACGAGATGAGTTAGCCAATCCTTCCACTGCATCAATTTCCAACAGTGTTGTCTATGTTTATTGTTTCAAGCCCGTAGCCGTATAATTGATCTAATTATGGGTAATTTTATCCAGCAGAAAAATAACTTCGATACCCAAATAACCAACACATTTTAATCTCTTCTACCACTTGAAGTCTCTAATCGCATTGTGCAGATAAAATCATGTCTGTCGCTAACAAATCGCATGTAGTAAAGTCACAAAGAGATTATCTGCAGCGAATGATCAAATATCAATGATTATTGCGGTGCATCAACGGCCTTTGTTGCTGTTGTGCGCTATCTGCCTGTGATGAAGAAACCATGCCGCCGCGGTGAAAAACCCATTTAGTTTTTTTTTTTAAACTGTGATCGTCATTTAGAACGAATTTTATCTACACTCTCATGTATCAGAACAAATTTTCCTTCCTGCTAAAGAATGTTCTTGCTCTTAAAAAATATTCCTGGCATGAAAAATTTTCCTAGCCCGCAAGCAATTTCCAAACTAATAAAAAATATTCCTAGCTCGCAACAAATTTTCCTACTTGACAATTTTTCTCCTAACTCGAAGTTCAAATATATCCTGTCCCTCACAGTACCATGCCGTTGTATAAATTTTGTCTAGATTAAATTTGCTTTGCTCATTGCTCAATTTTTGGAAGCCGTTATAATGGTGTTATTGAGTCGAGCATTCTGTACCTGCACCATTATTTCGAGCGTCACATCAATGAGGAAATCTAATGATCACTTATATTTAGCGCATTAATTGACGCTAGAGAATGATAAGTATTTCATGGTAAGTTTTTAAAGTAAAAGCTTGTGTAATTGCTAATTTTGTAATCGCGTATTTAATTTATAATCATCAGCAAAATTTGGCCATTATTGAACAATGGATCAATAATAGGCAAAATCTTGGTGCTTTCGGTAATTAAAATTGGTCAGTAAATTCAATATCGTGATCCTTAATTAGTCTTATTTCAGTTACTTTTTCAATTAATAATAATTTTTGAACTTTCGAGTTATGAATTTTTATCATTATTGCTAAAACTGACAACCTACATGATTATTGATAATTCTCTTTGTATTTTTGTAAATAAAAGCACAAAAATGTTGGAATGCTAAGAATGACTAAGGTCTGTAAATGGCTGCAGGTGAAGCTACATAATCTTAAAAATATCGATATCGCTTGCTTACAAATTGGATATGTCAATAAACTGCTTTATAATTTGAATTTATACGAAAATTACTCTTCAGTGCTTATAAGAAATGGAAAAAGAATTACAAACTATACATATCAAAATATCAGTAGATTCGTGAGATATCAAACAGATAAATCGTATACCCATATGCACATATTCCTGATTCAATATAGATATATAAATAACAGTATAATATATAATTTCGATGCTGGATACGATGGCTTGTGCATAGTAGCTGATAAGCGTGCGAGATAAGGTCATTGGTCACGCGCTCAACCGTGTGCTCTATTGTGACATTTATTCTGTGTGATAATTAAGGAAACTTTTATTGTGTTTTGGTTATTGTTTATTGTTATTAATGGTTTTCACCATAAATGAAACTGCTTATCATGAATATCATTCAATTAAGTATAACTACAAACTATTAAATTTAAATTATGATTATATTTACTACTCGCTATTTTTTTATAAATGTTTGTTAATATTGTAAAAAATTGGGATTTAAAAAATTGATAGGATTGTGTTACAGCACTTGTATTGAAGCAATATTTGGTGTTAAAAGCCTATAGCAAATTTATGTGTTATAGCATATAACCGAAACTGCCATGACCTAACCTAACATTCGAATTGGTGAAAAAAAAGGAACAAAGAGCTAGTGAATATTTCAAGAGTTTAGTGTAATTTAATTTATATAAGATCAACTTTTTTATATATAGAAATTGGAGGTGAGTACAGACTGCGATGAAGCAGAATTTTTGTGGGAAATTAACATCGTGCATATAGAATAAAATAAAAATATAAAGAAAAATTAAAATTATTCAAATGTGATTAACAAATTTGAATAATGAAATTGTGTAAGTTCCAAACGACGTTAAGGTTGGACGCAGAGGCCAGTTCCGGTGCAGTGGAGACTGATTAGAACGCTTCTCCTGACGAGCGTTATCGCTGCTAGTACGAACTGTACGAACGTTGTGCTTGCTGTACTAATCAATGCTATTAGTGTGATTAATAGGACTAATATTTGCTATCTGTACGAACGTTGTGCTTGCTGTACTAATCAATGCTATTAGTGTGTTTAATAAGACTAATCTCTGCGATCTGTACGAACGTAGTGCTTGCTATACTAATCAATACTGTTAGAGTGATTAATAACAGCAATCTCAGCGATTTGTACGAACTGTACGATCGTAGTGCTTGCTGTACTAATCAATAGTATTAGCGTGATTAATAACACTAATATCTGCGATCTGCACGAACTGTACAAACATGGTGCTTGCTGTACTAATCAATCCTATTAGTGTGATTAATAGGACTAATTTTTGCCAGTACGAACTGTACGAACGTAGTGCTTGATGTACTAATCAATACTATTAGTGTGATTAATAACACTAATCTCAACTAAATGTACGAACTGTACGAACGTGGTACTTGCTGTATTAATCAATACTATTAGTATGATTAATAACACTAATCTCTGCTATCTGTACGAACTGTACAAACGTAGTGCTTGCTGTACTAATCAATACTATTAGTGTGATCAATAGGACTTATCGCTGACAGTACGAGCTGTACGAACGTAGTGCTTGCTGTACTAATCAAGACTATTAGTGTCATTAATAAGACTAATCTGTACGAACTGTACGAACGTAGTGCTTGCTGTACAAATCAAGACTATTAGTGTGATTAATAAGACTAATCTGTACGAACTGTACGAACGTAGTGCTTGCTGTACTAATCAAGACTATTAGTGTGATTAATAAGACTAATCTGTACGAACTGTACGAACGTATTACTTACTATACTAATAACTTTTATTAGTGTGATTAATGACACTAATCTGTAGGAACTGTACGAACTAAGTGCTTTTTGCACCATTCATGAATATTCGTGCTATTCGTGCCGCTACTCAGTATGAACTGAATGAACCAAGTTCTTACCGAACTAATCAGCTTTATTCGTGCGATTAGTGACAAAATTTTTTTTCCATTAATTACCTCGAATATTAGGTCAAAACAAATTAATTCGTGCAAGCATTGACACTTTTACAACTTAACTACTCAATGTAAGTCCTAGTATTACTGTCACTAGTGAGTCGCTAAAAAGAGAAAATCAGGTAATTATAAAATAAGAAAGAATTTTTCCATTAGGTATTAGTTGAAGTTGTAACGAGAATCTTAATTCATTAAGAGTAGTATATGTATAAAAAATTATTTTTAAATGATATAATCATATATTAATATTAAAAATTATAAATAAAAATAAAAGAATTTATTATTGTTTAAAACAATATTGACCCATTGCAGGACGGTTTCGGTAGATGCAACAGTCAGTGAACGAATGCTTCAATTAATACTAATATTACTAATCATGCAATTTTTAAGTATACATATAAATTATCAAAATTATAAACTATACCTATAAATAATCAAAATTACAAATTATACATATAAATTATCAAGATTATGAATTATAATTGTGAATAATAGAAATTACAAATCATTATTATAAATTATAAATATTAGACATATATATAAATAAAACGATATAATTTCATCATCAAAATTCAATAATAAAATTTTTCATACGGGGAATAAAGTATTGCTGTCTGAAGAAGATAATGTTGCCAGATATATAGCAGCCGATACATTGTACTTAACTACTAACTACTCCTACTATACCTACTTTTACTTTAGTACTTGTATCTCCTTCTACTACTGTACAAGTATTATTCCGGTAGTACAATAACTGCGCATTACAAGTTATTAAATAAATTCAAAGAATAACTGTGACGTCATCGAGGCTATAGCCGCCTAATTTGACCAGCATTATTAAATAAGGGTGATATTGTGCACGTAAATTCGGTAAAGACGGAAATGGAGTCGTCATAGGTGACTATTAATACTAATAAAAATAAACTAGTAATAGCTTCCGAGTTTTGCGATCATCATGACAAAAACAGGCAAAATGTATTGGCACCGCAGTGAGAATTGAAATTATATCATCATCATATTCACACATTGGCACCATAAAGTTAAAAGTTAAATACAATGAGCACCGCGGTAAAAAACATCACGTTCCCACATTGGTACTACAGTTGTAAAGGATTAAGGGCCCCAACACATTGATGAGTACAATGAGCATGCACGGTGCAGAGCACCACGTTTATCACGTTCCCACATTGGCACCACAAAAGGAAATACAATGAGCACCGCGGTGAAGAACCTCATGTCCCCCACATTGGTACCACAATTGTAAGGGATTAAGGGCCCAAGCACATTGACGAGTACAATGAGCATCACGGTGCGGAGCACCACGTTTATCACGTTCCCACATTGGCACCACAATGAGAAGTACAATTCATGGAGTGGCATTGGCCGGACTGGCGTGCGGTTGCTCTGGTTTCGCTGTACGCGTGGCGCCTAGCCAATCACGTTAGCCCCCGCAATGGACCAATCAGAAGCAGGTTAAAAGCAAATTGGAATTTCCAGAACATTATACGTTTGGTTTTATAATAAATTTCATATTACACACCAGAATAAATATATCATTGAAAAGTCAATATTAATATCAGTTTTAATGCCATTTTTACTGTTTAAATTTATATTTAACTTTAAAATATATTTTAAAAGATACTGCATAAAACACAAAAGTCATCGTACGGAAATCCCATTTTTATAAACA